GGCTGCCCAAGCTCTGCAGCTTTAGGCACTCTTTTTTTCAGTCATTCTCCTTCTTATGAGGCCCTGCTTTTAGAGAAGACTTTTCCCATTGATATTGCTCTGTCATGGCCCAAGAAGAACCATGGAGGAAAAGCTAATCATTGACGCCCCAGACAAACACTGGCTACTCAGGTGGAAACAGTTTTTGAAGGTGCCACGTAAGATACTTTTAGCTAGGGAATCAAAGCCTACACCTTGTCTTGGGAATTCCTCTACTAGGACTTACCACTGAAAAAGTGCTGGCTAGTTAATTTGCACAAGCCAGGACTGTCACAAACAGCTCAGCAGTTTCTACCCGTTCTGCTATGACATACAGCTCCCAGTTCCAGAAGGAGTCACTTTTTATGTGGTCTCAGACTGCTGGCCTGTAGCCCATGCCTGAACATTTGGGTTTTGTTTAATGTCTATGGGCTACATACAGGGAGTAGCAAGCCCTTATCCCTGTGCTATCTGGTGTAGGGATCCATGCCCTTGGTGACATCCGACAGTAGACCAATGATAGGACAGAGTACCAAATTATCCCTTCTTGTAGTGGTAGCCAGAGAGGGATGGACAAACTCTAAGTTCCAAAGCAGTAATTCTTAACTTGGACCTTAGCAGGTTCTGAAAAACAGCTGAGAGAGCACCAAGCTTTCATTTGATTCTCAAACCTAAGTCTCAAAAGAGACAAAGAACCTTTACTTTAAAAAAGAGCAGTAGTTCTCACACTTAAGTGTGAGAATAACCTGGAGGGCTTGTTTCATCAGGGAGCTATAGGCCTCTTTTTTAGATATAAGTGTTGATATAAGTGTCTTGCCCCCTGGTGATTGAAGGCCCCCTGGTGACTGAAGGAAACCAGCCCCAGAGGTTCTGGTTTGTTAGGTCTGGACTAGGATCCCAGAATTTGTATTTCCAGCAATTTCCAAGGGGCTGCTAATCACTAGCTCTTGGTCCAGTGTTCACACTTTGAGAACCACTGTTTTAGAGGTTACAAAAAAATCATGAGGGGTTTGAGTTCAAGTTATGATCTTTGCTTTTCAGACAAGAGTTCTAAAAGATGCCACAGTCCAGGGCTGGGGATATGGCTCAAGTGATAGTGCGCTTGCCTGGCATGCGCGAGGCACTGGGTTCGATCCTCAGCACCCATAAAAATAAAGATATTGTGTCCACCTAAAGCTAAAAAATAAATATTAAAAAAAAAGATGCCACAAATCCTTTAAACCACAATATGTCCCAAGGAATTATGAGATTTTATTTTTGGAAGACGCCCCTAGAGAGTGACAGACTCTAGACCTTTCCTTGGAGGCCAGGAAACATCTGGGAAACAGCATTTTAGATGGTGCAGGAAAATGCCTCCAGAAACTTAAAAGCCCAAGCAGAACTCTGAGTTGGAAAGTGCATGACTCTGGCTGACCCAATTCCTGGACCAATTGTTGGTAAACAGAAAGGTTTGGGGAATCTGTAAAGACCCACATCCTCTCCTGGAGACTGCCTCACTCACATAGAAGGTCTGCTCTAAGGAAGAAAGGGTGTTTTCTGGAGTTAGAATCTGGGAGACAGAAGGAAACCAAAAACTTAATGAGACAGAGTTCAAAAGCCTCATTCACAGAAACTTTTATTCAGGTTGTTATGGAAAGGGTAGGAAGAGGCAAGGATAGTACTCAGGGCTATGCTTACTTCAAGCAAGAGCAGTAGAGAGCCCTGGAAGGGCCACTTGCCAGTTCCCTTCAGACCTGCTCTAAGTCATTTCCCCATAAAAGGGAGGGAGAAATGAAAATGTGGATTCATTCATGAATCAACCTCTAAAACAGGAAGTGTGGCTTTTGAGCTATGCAAAGAAATCCTCCTTTGTACAGAGAACACTGGCTTTGCCATCCAGCTAAATATACCATAAGATGAGACAATGTCAAAGTTGGGAGACACTACATATTAGAGGATGTGGAGGCCGAACTTCAGAGGAAGGCGATATAGTAGGGTTACTGAGACCATGGATGTGCTTTGAAATCAGCCTACCAGAATTTTTTTGGGGGGGAGGGGAAACACCTTTTTTTTTTTTTTTGGTGCAGTATTGGGGATTGAGCCCAGGAGAGCACTCTACCACTGAGCTAATCCTTAGGTTTTTTTTTTTTTTTTTTAAGCTGTTGATGGATCTTTATTTTATTTATTTATATGTGGTGCAGAGATTCAAACCCAGTGCCTCACACATGCTAGGCAATCGCTCTACCACTGAACCACAATCCCAGCCCGAGTCTTTTTTATTTATTGGAACAGGGTGTTGCTAAGTTGCTGAGGCTGGCATGGAACTTGCCTCAGATTCCTGGGTCCCTGGGATTACACATGTATAACACTGGGCCTGACTGGACTTTGGATTCTGACTGTGGAACCCTGAGCATGAATCTTTCTGAATGATTATACTATAGCATCATCATTTGTCAAATGGAGGTAATAATAATGCCTCACAGGACTGAAGTAAGAATGAATGAAACAACCTAGTTAAAATGCTTAGCTTGGTGCCTTGAGTATTTTAAGCACACGTTTGAAAATAAAAAGGTAGTGGGGCTTAGTAAAATTTAGGATGCTGATAATATAGACCCACCCTTAGTGCCATTACCAGAGACAGAAGGTGGAGGTAGGGTGGAGGTGCTGCTAGTCTCCACAAGAGACTGACAGAGGTTGAGATGAGTCAGCAGGATGGGAGAGGATGCTTACGATGATGGAATCAACTGGACAACCTGTTGGCTGTAAGGTGGGGATATCCTACTCTTTTAAACAATTGTAACATTTAATTTAATTTTCTCACTGTCAATCTAAGTGCCAAATAGCCTGATTTGAACTGAAGTGAATGAAAATCAATGTTGGTAGCAATACTGGATTGACATATTGGAAACACTCTAGAGATATGCAAAATTAACGTGGAATCTCCATTGTCAGGAAAAAATGTGGCTCCTCCTACTTAAGTTCCAGAAATATGGAGGAAAGTGCTAAAATGACAACAGTGGAGGTATGATTCTGAGGAAAGCTGGCAGCTGACCCTGAAAAGAGAGAGATCTCTTTCCTCTAATTCTCAATGAGCAGAAACTCTTCTAAAATCCAGTACCCTAAGCCAAAAAGTCTTCTCTGCTTAGAAAGCAATTGTTACTACAACTAAGAACAAAGAGATTTCTAAAAAACCATGCAAAAATAGCCAAAATAAATTACATATCACACGGTTAAATAAAAGCTTACATCCCTTGGAGGTGAGGGCAGGAAAAGATTGCCAATTATATCACCTTAGAAAACAAAGAGCTAAAGAAAAGTGACAAAAAGTTCTTGAGCATGTTATGCTGGGTCCCTTGCTTGAGGAAACCCATGGCCCTACCAGCCTTGCCTTGTTCAGACCTATCCTAAGCCTGACTTGTTCCTCTTGCCGTCCTGTTGCAGGACCTTGCTTCCAGGCTTCTTGTTATCCAAATGAACAACTGGGCATATTTATCATGGTCCCACTTGTGAGTCTTTGAAAGAATAAGGCCACAGGACAATTAGGAAGGGGACTTTTTCACTGGGAGGAAATGGTGGCTAGAGTTTTCACCACAAGCTCCTGTTCTTCAGAGCCCTCTTCTTGGACAGAGACCCAGAGATCCATCTGATCTCACTTTGAGGAGAGGAGAATCTGGTCTCTTCTTCAGGAAGTACTGCTGTGTATCCCCTAAAATCAGAGGTACTGCATAACTTAAGGAAACTAAGTTTCTTAGGTATCCCACTCACCTCTCCATAACAGTGGCACCTTTAGCTTTATGTTTTGATAAAGTTTGTTATTTTTTTTTTTAAGTCAGTGGTTGTCAGGTATGAAAGCCACTTCAATCCTGTTGTTCTCTATAAAGGAGGGTCATTATAGCAAGAAAACAACAAAGCAGTAATTTACAATGATAAACTGTCTTGGGATTCACCCAGGGAAGCCTGGAATTGTAATACTATAAACTTGAGATATTCTATGGCCATGCATCAGTTTTTAGAATATAACCATTCATTGTCATATACATATATATATATAACATTATATATAACATATATATATTTTAAATAATGTTGAAAGGCTTTCTTTTTTTTAAAAAACTATTTATTTAGTTAATTAGTTGTAGTTGGACATAATACCTTTATTTATTATATGTGGTGCTGAGGATCAAACCCTGGGCCCCGCATGAGCTAGGCGAGCGCTCTACCACTGAGCCACAATCTCAGCCCTGAAAGACTTTCATAATGTGATTTTTGCCAGGAACCTTGGAGATCTATTTGTTCCAAGTCTTTCTAATATACAGCTGGAAGGGAAGTGAAAACATCAAGAATGATAAACCAAATGGATAAAGCCACAATAAAACTTCAAACTCCACTTCTGCAAGTTGAGGAAAAAACATACCCAAGGCCTTTGCTAGTTTTTGAGTTAGAGGTCAAAACTGGGTGGTTTTCTTTGGTCAGATAATCTACTCTTCTAGGAGAAGGTCCCAATGAAACTATTCTGAAGGACAATTCCTGTGCCATGTTTTTATGGCTAACTTAATTTACTGTCATTCTATTCATTAGAAAAGCAGTGAAAGAAATCTTTTATTTCCCTTTCTCTCTCTCTTTTTTCTTCTTTTTGTGGTGATGGGGATCAAATCCAGGGCCTTCTATATGCTAGGCAAGGGATCCACCATGGTACTACATCCTCAGACCAAAGGGGGCTTATATTAAAGCACAACTTACATTTTCTGTAGAGTATTATCTTCTGATATGGGCTCTTTCACAATCTTTCCACTACCCCAAACCCATCTCAAATTTAAAATGACAGAAAACAAAATCCTTCCATCAGAAAGGAACCTGAACCATACGAAAGGTTTTGCCTTGTCTTTAATGTGATAGATGGTCAACTGTCACACCATCAGAAAAAAAACTGACCCAAGATGCCTGACAGGGAATAAGTCACATAAAATCTTTAAAATAAATAAATTTGTTTTAAAGTAATAGACTTTTACAGTGTGAGAGAGCAATTTAATGTTTGCAGTCCATTCATGATCATAAGTAACAGGCAAGTAGCACACCAGCTACTGAGTCCTTTGATAGATGATGGTTCCATCTATCAAACAAAATAAACACAAAATAATCAGAGCCACCAGACCCCTTGCCCCCAAAAGCACTGAAACAAAAGACTGATCTGTTTATATAGTCACATGAAAAATAAACATCTTTATTTTTTGCCTACTTTATTTCATTTTTTCAAATAAAATTTAAATCTGTACAAAGTATACTGTTACAGTATATATTTTGTAAGAATCAATGCCTAAAAGAATCACAATACTTCAATAAGCAGTACAGCAGACCTCGCTAGTTTCAGCTTTGATATTGAACAAACTCAAGCCGGCTGATGCACAACACGTTTGCTTGGTTTCCACATGGTGAGTTCCCAGCACTGAGATGGGAGAACATGACAGCAAATATGGTTATATTACAGCCCGACACACTGCGCTTCTTCATGTGATAATAACTGCACATATTTAATACAGAATGCTCAAATTTACTTTTTAAATTGCATTTGCTTACTTTTTAGTTGACAAAATTCAGCATTCTTAAATGGGGTCCCCAAACAGTGCAAATTAATGATATTCTACTGTATATTGGCACATCTCCAATAAGGATTAACTTGTAAACTCAAAGAATATCAACAACTTAGTTCTAAATTTTAACTAATACACATCTGGTCCATTTAACCAAAGTCATTTTGGAAAGATATTAAAGAACAATTCTATTTCTGAAAGGATCTTGTTTTGACCAATCTTTAGAGAAGATAAATTTTTAAATTGTCATTAAAATGTTTTACTATAAAAGCTTACAAACTTGATTAGAAATTTCAACATTATGATTCACAGCAGACAAATACAAACTGCATATATTCCAACAATACCTACTCTTAGGCTTTCCAACAGAGCACAACCATGTCAGCTGTGTTAACTAAAATTCTGAACAGTGTACTAAATTTATAAGTGGTGCTGGGTCTAGCAAGTGTAAATACACAGTATATTTCAATGAAAAGAATTGTCTTCTTTATACTTTATTTGTTTTCCCATAAGGAAACATTATGTTTACATTCTTTAATAAAGTTAATCTTACATCAGAATATAACTTAATACTGTCAGCAACAGGGACCACACACAGTAAATAAGAAGCACATTTAAAATAAGTCTGAATTCACATAGATTAACATTTGTTGGTTAATAAAATATCAACAGTATTACAATCTTACAATATTTACAGTAAGAAAAATCTAGAGTAATATATACCTTTCACAGCAGGATTCCTTTTTTTTTTTAAATTTCTTCCAGTTTGGGATTGTGTATACACGAAAAGCTCAAAATAAAGCAACTCTGCAATATAATCTTAAAATAATGGCTACTAGGGGGGAAATTCTATCACAACCATTGAAAATAATGGTGACTTCTCACGGAGTCTGTGGCATCTGAGAACCCAGTTAATTAACCAAAGTCTTGCTCAAACCAGCCTCAGTTACCCAGATTAAAGCTGCAGAACTCCGGCCTTCCCTGACTGCTGAAAACCCAACAGATTTTCTCATCATGCTATAAGAAAAGAGGGAAAATTGGATTCAGCTTATACCTCATGGCTGGAAACCCCCAGCCAGTGCACATTCCCTAATTTATGCCAAAAGGGGGCTGATTTCATCCCCACAGCATCATAAAAGTCCCAAGCTTTACTCATTCCTCAATTCTTGTCCATTAGGATAAGGCATGAACTTGGCCCATATAGTACACATCAGTATCTTAGAGACTTGGGACGGGGCAAAAAAACAGATTAGTGTAGTTTGCACTGTGATCAACAGGAAAATGGGAAGTGATGCACATTTCCAATTAGAATGACAAGAAGAAGACCCACATCCCTAAACTGGAATTTGGCTAGGGCATCAGAGTTAGCACCCCCTCTCTGAGTGCCACCAGCAATTAGGATGTGTGCTCTGGGCCTTCTCTAAGAGAGAGCATCTACAATAAGTAACACAGTGTGGGACATAAGTTCAGTGACCACTCCCAAGAAAGCAGATATGATTCTTGAATCTGGGGCTGTCTATGGCACCTGAGGTCCAATCACCCAAGCTGTGACCTGTCCCAACCCTGCTTACTTTAAGATATCTGATGGGCACAGAGCACTCAGGGATACGGCTGCTGGCTACTTTGGACTCTAGATCTCACAGGTAATCAACAGGTATCTGGGATTGAATTAGCAAACTGTACCATGGCTCCTTAAACAGACACTGTCAGGTTTGAAATCATGTCAAGCATGAATCTTCACTGTCAGGTCAGAAATAAAGTGGGAGCCTTCCCACATTAGCCAAGGTTATTTGGTCAAAACCTTAGAGGAGTTGGACAGTTTTTCATGTTGCAAGTGATTAGTTTACTTATTTCAGTCAAGCTGGATTGGCAAACCAGGCTGATATATTTAGTTTTGTTTTTTTGATTCTTATATATGTGCTAACCCAAAGCTGTTGTATTTGGGCTAAATACACTTGACAGAGAAAATTCAAACAACAAAAGTTTCAGCAAACTTCTGTGGCATTTTCTTTTTGGAAGTCAATGCAAGATCAAAAGGTATTTCTACCCAACAAAGTCTGTTTAAGTGTTTAATGTTACTTCCTTTTTTGGTCCTATACAGAATGCTATGACTTCTATATAGGTCTGAATGCAGCTCCATGTAGATTCCTTCTGTATATCTAAAAATATATACTTTTCAGTAGTTCAATACATGGTTAATCTTCCCACAGAGGAAGATTCTTGTAATCACATGTTGCAAAGTAGAAAAACATCTCCTTTCTAAGAAAGGAAATATACTTTCCTATTGTACACTTTTGAATAAGCCCAAAGGCATGCACCAAAAATCATTATTAAAACTAATACATGCACTAAAATGGTGTAGAGTTAGACTTAAAGTGCTGCTTCTCAATTTTTAAAATTTGAAGACATTTTGTCAGTTGTTGACTCAAAGATCCCCCCTCATGGCATCAAGAGAGAAAAGTAAAAAGTATGCATAAATCTTTAAACTATTCTTTACATGGGGGAAAGAATGGATATATCAACTATCCTATTTATAAACTGGATTCCCAGTTTTAAATAAATCAGTATTTACTGGTAAAAATTGTCAAAGCTAATACACCCAAACAAATGTTACTAGTAAATAATGTTCTACATAGAGAATAATTTACTTTGGTTTTATGCACCTTCTCAAAAATAATACTAGTGTCCCATACATCACCAAATTGATGTGTTCCAGCAAAGTTGTAAGGCAAATCTTTTTTTCCCTAGTGACATCTTGTTTCCCAACAGACAAAACTAAATTCTTTTGGTGAAGAAGGGGTTAAGATAATGGCTAACCCCTTGGCATCCTGAGCATTGTGGTTTATCAAACTCTACCCTGCTAGAAATTGTCAGGCACCCTGACCCCTGTCTTGAACCAAGAATGGCTCCCATGTCTAGAGATGCCCTGACTGCTTATGAATAGCTCTCAGAACTTTGCTTCTTTTTTCCTTCTGTCTGGATGTTATAAAATTTAACAAAGCTGGTTGCAATGTCACATTTTGCTAGTAGGGGCCACCATCTAATAATAATTAATTCCATCTGAAATATTTTAAGCCAATAGTTAGTTCCTAATTTTATCAAATACTGGTATTATAATCTTCTCTACAGAGTTTACTTAAAGCAGAGATCCTTAACTTGGGTTTCAGAAGATGTGTGATGCCCCTGAGGTTGTATGCAAAATTATCTGTGTATGTGCATTTTTTTTTCTGAGGAGAGGGTCCATCACTTTCATCAAATTATTAAAGGTACTGTGACCCCCCAAAAAGGGTTACAAGGACTTAGAGAGATACCCGTAATGCGTTTTATATCAAGATTGGGAAATGGGGGTAGAAAACAAAAAACTGCCTAAAAAAGAGGGGACTGGAAAGGAAAATGCTGATCTTTCCCTTTATTCACCTTTGGGAAATAAGAGCTTCAAACTATGAAAAAAGAATTAATTAAGCTGGTTAAACTCCATAAAAAAAAAAAAACAACCCAAAACCATTTTCTAATTTTTTTCATTTCCATAAGTAGTAAATTTAGCCTCTAAGAAAAGGTTTAGAAGCTAAATTTTTCTCTTTTCCTAAAGGAAATTCATAGATACAATGCTGAACATCATCCACATTTAAAGATCTGACAACATAAAACAGGCAACTCTAATGATGTGAGCCTTTAACTTGCAGTTTTGAGTACATGATTATCTAGAGTCAAATCCACATTGTTAACCTTCATTTCCCAAAACTGGTCCACCACCTGGCATAATTCCACTAAATAAACCTAAAATCTGGACGATGAAGTTCAAAACTTTCTACTCAAATGGAAAACAAAGCCACATGTTCCAAAATAGAATCCGGTCCGAAACATTCACACTATGTCAGAGAGGACATTCTCATTTTAAATACATGACCAAATTTTCAACAGAATTTGCAAACATAAAAATTCAGAACGACTAGCAAAACATGCTGAGAAGAGCATGTCAAGAATTAAAACACCACCCCCCTCTCCAGAAACACATTCAGGCATTCCAAAAATAAACCAGATTTGAAAAGAGGGCCTCTCCACTTGTTGGTTTTAAGTATAAGGTATGTAAAAAGCTATGGGAAAAGAAATATAAAATAATTCAGTAACTTACAAAAAACAAATTTAGCCAAAACACATCTTTCTATTGACAAACCTATTAATTTTTTTTCTTTTTTTGCAGTTCTGAATATGGAGTTGCACAATCTCATTGAGACAAAAATTATGCTCACAGGTACACTTTTTGTTCTTTCTAGAGCACATCTTTGAGGTTATAAGACCGGCTCTGGTTAAAATAGTCTCTTATCCCTTGCTGCCCTTTCCCCTCAAAAAGTAAACCAATCCTGAATTCTAAAGAGAAAGAGACATTTAATATAATTATTTCAATACTAGTTCTATTATATAAACCATGAGAAAACTATATGAACATTATGGAAAACTACATGAAAAGAGGGAACTGCCACTTGCAACCCACTTCACCTTTATAAGCATGTAACCAGTAAGACTCACTGACTAAGTGAAAACAGAACAACACTCTAAAATCAGACTATCTCAGGGTGGAAGTTGGATCTCAAAGATACACACTCTCTCTCTCTCTCTCTCTCTCACACACACACACACACACTCTCTCTCTCTCTCTCTCCCCCCTCCTAAGCTTTCATTTTGTTTAGTTTAACAGTTTCATAAAGCTCACATTAACAAGAATTTTATTGGCAAAACAAAGGCCCATATTAAAAATTTTACCAAAACAAATTTTTGTATTACATAGCTAACAATAAGGAATGTTTTCTTGGCCTTATAAAGCATATTTAATTGCATATAAGTTTTGCTTTGGGTGGGATACTGAAAACATAATTCTGCAAGAAACTAGAAAAGACTAGAAACAAAAGTGAAAGTGACTAGTCTTAACTCTCAAAAAATCAAGTGCAAAGATAAATAGTGCAAATAATTAAAACTAGAAATTTTATAGGCAACTTTACATAGACTTTCCTGCTTTTTCACTTTAACATACTGACAACTTTATAAACCCTAACAACTGTATGCAGCATGGAAATGGGCTATCATTTATCTCCACTGATTAGACTCAAGGAAGCCTTCCAAAGACTTGTCTCAGAATCATTTAAATCACTGGTTCTTGACACAGGTTTGGGAATTCACTTCTTTTTAAATGACTCCTATGGGAGGGGCTATTTAAGAAGGCTCTGCACTAACTTAAACAAGTTATAGTAGGTAACTGTATTATAATTTAAAATCTGACACAATAAAATGTGAAGATTATATTAACTGCCAACTCTACAAAATAAGCTATGTAAAAATAATTCTTCTATTATTAATGAACTTGACATTTATAAAAAAGAAATTACCTCCAAGTACAAAATCAGAACCTCCTTTTTGGGCTATTTAAAGAGATTTTCATTACTAATGTATAGAGATCTGATTAAAACAAAACTTGAAAGTAATTTGTTAAAATCATTGGAAATAAATTTAAAATAGTAAATTTGCCAACAGTTAATCCAAATATATCTAAAATTACATAACTTTAAAAACAAATACAGCAATTCTTTATTTTAAATAATTTAAAATACCCCTGGGATTATAGGAACAGAAAACACTGTCAGCTCACTCTACAAAGAAGGTAAGAACCTCAAAAATGTACTAAATTATATAATTAACATCTGCCACCACTGAACTCTTGGGAATTCTATAATTTTAATGTAAGAGAGAAAGTGGGAAAACAAATAGTAACATAAATATAGGAGGTATGCTGTCTAATTTCAGAAATGTAGTATTAATGAAGACCTCATAAGGTCCACAATGTTAAATGGTTGCCAGGACTGCAAATGTAAAAGAAATAGAAAAAATACCCAAAATTATAATTTAGTACTATTACCTGGTTTATTGTCTTCTAAGAAATTTATGTGAACCAGAGGCTAAAGTTTCTTTAAAAGAAAGAATCTTAGGATATGGATCTTTGTAGACTGCAAATCAAATAATTTGACCTAAGGACCATTTTGAAAAGTAAAGGTAAACCACACATTGTGACAAGTGCCCAAGAAAATACTGATGTACTTATCTGTAATGATAAAGATTACCGATATATTCAAATGATAACTGTGAAAAGTTTAAAACTTTATCATCTTTTTCTCAAAATAAATCACTAGCACCAACTTGCCTTGACCAGAAAAGATGCCACTCCACAGCTGTGCTACTTAAATTTGTCTCAGAAAAGCAAGCATCCTACAGATGAAAACAGATTTGCAAAATATATCATCAGCATCATAGCTAGCTATAGACCAACAGTTTTCTTTTAGCGAATGAGGAACCCATTGTCTCTGGTTTTTGAAACTTTTGCAGTGCAGATCAATTTCATTGTTCTTAGCAAACAACTCTCATTCAGACTTCACCTTAGTTTCCTACCTCCAATAAAAATTCCTCCCACTTTACTTCCAAACCATTCCCCTAGGTACCTCCCACACCCCCATTCATAAACACATTAAACAGCTTTCCCCTTCCTGCTCTCAAATTTCCAAATCAGTAAGCCTCAGTTCCCAGTAGCTTACCTAAAATACACATACTTCTTACTTTCTTCAATTTGCAAATTTCTTAACAAACATTAATTTAGATGCTCTTCAAATTGCCAACTATAGGGAGAACAGCAGTCAGAAAAAAAAATGCCCAATTACCTCAAAATATAGAAATCTTTCTGGATCACCAGTTAACTATGTTCTAAGACAGGAGTCAGCGATTTCTTTACTTCTTTCTCAAGTGGGTAAGCTTGAATGCTACTGGCAGGCCTATGGCAAGAATAAAGAAGAAAAAGAGAGAGAAACAAAGAAAAAAGAGGATAGGAGAGACAAGATATCAGATATATAGGGTAAGGAGGTAGCTCAAGAGCCACCAACAATTTTAACTGCTGGAAATTGCCAATCCACTCCAGCTGAATGGGAGTTTGACTCAATTTCAGTATGATCCTAAAAAATCATTACCTGATGGTCATCACTGTTTGAGCTAGTCAACATAAATAGACATCATCTGTCCCATAACTTTAATTGCCACCTAACAACAAGGATATCTTTTTCTAAATTCTCCTAGAAGCCTTCTGTATTAGTACATCTTAGACCAACATACATGCTAACAAGAGTAGTTCCATGTTTTTCACAATTCTAGAATACAAGGGCTTGGTCCTTATACTTGGAGACCTCTTGGATCCGAAATCAAGAAAATTAAACTCTTTAGCTTAAATTTTCCCCATGAAATGCTACACAATAATTGGTAAGCAAATTATTAACAATCAAACAAAGTATTTGTGAAAACACAAAATCTTGATTCCAAAATGAGCAAAATATTTCTGGTTCTTATTTTACAAAGAGGATCATCAACATCTTTCTATCTATCAACAAGACAATTTTCCACAAAAGCAAAGGACATCAGGAAGAAGGAAGAAAGGATAAGGGAAGAAAAAAGGAAGGAAAGAAACAATAAATACCAAATGTAATATGGATAATTAAATGAATGAGTAGCTATGAAACTCTTAAGAGAAATGTTTTTAACAAGTGACTTTTGCCATATTCAATTTTTCTAT